AATTATTATCACACTTCAGACAGCTTATCTTAGACCTTTGGTAAGTCAGTTTCTCTATTATCCTACTTATTATACAGCTGATAGTATTCATGGCTAATACGTAACGATGCAATCTTGGATCGAAACAAAATTATCAAGATCATCTCTCATCACAATCATGATATCTTATATTTACTAAATTGAATACATATCTTAATTAATTGCGGACTCTTGTGTTTTAACTAGAAAACTAAGGATTGATTGATATAATCTAATGTTTACTGCTCTTAATATCTTAGAATAATAAATGAATATGAATTATTCGTTGTACAACACTACACTATTATGGATATATATTTAATTTCAGATGGGTTTATGTGCAGATTGTAGTAATTTCAATGGTTAAGATCATGAGTCAGTTGAAGCTAGACCACCGTGGAAAACGTGGAAGCAATGGTGGGTTCGAATCTCGCAGAGGTTTTAAGTAGATTCTAAGAACAATTTTATCCAATAAACACGTGATCTATGGTCAATCAAACGAATTCAACTTCATTTCTACTCAAAAAAATTTTGTACATCCACTTCATTGAACACACGTTTACACTTACTTTTTCATGAACAAATATTAATCGCTTCTATTACTTTCTTCATATTCTACACATTCAGGAAAAACTTGTACGAACGTTTGGCTGAAACATTCAAATGTCTTTTGAACGCATTACCAGTATATCTCGGAGGTGCAAATAAAACCTGTTACTCATAGTAACAGCAAAAGATTTTACTTTCTAAAATTTTATAAAACAAAACACATCAGTTATAAATAAAAAATTTTTAAACCTACTGATAACCACACACATTTTAATGAAACATAATGTTTGATGTAGTGCGAGTCCTTCAAACTAATAGTACTCAATATTTACATAATTCTCTATATTAGTGATATGTATATACGGACACTTGATATCAAAAAGATCTAGATCCTTCAGTAGATAACTCATTCAGGTTGTTATCTTCATGATGTATCTTGAACTAATGGTGATGAGTTCTAGCTACACTTTGATAAGAGGCTATCAAATACTCCTTTTTCTCCTGTATTCTGCTTCTAAAAGATGGACAAATCTTGAAAGAAATATTTATTTGGTAGAGATCAATAAAAATTGATTTCAGCAAGTAAATTAAGCGTTGAAAGATCACGGTAAATCGAAAACAAATGCAGAAAAACTTCAGATCGATTCTGAGATTCATGAGTCATGGATACAGAAAATCACCTACTGGATCGAAACAAGATCTTAAATTATGGAGATGAGCATGTGATAATTACACTATTAGAGTAGAATTTGCTAGTCAGTTTGGGATATAAAAAATATAATCGTCATGCTAATACAGTAAAATATGATAAAATCAATGGGAAACTTAGCGTATAGTATACAGTAAGTGTAAATATAAACTCACATTTTTGTTCTTCACGCAATACTGAGATAAATTACATGCTTCTCTGATCTTTGATTTGGTTGTAAAATCCAAACTAATCGAAATTACGACTTGGAAAATAGTAAATTAACAGATAGAAGAAACAAAATCGCGACCTTAATTGGATTCAAACTAAGTTTTTCAGATACCAACGTGATGAACGAATATTTAGTGGGGAGAACTCAATTGTTGTTCAATGCAAAATAACACAGTTGCTTAGTAAAATATGAAAATCATACAATAAATATATCATTTGCGCACCTTCTTTGCGTCGCCTTTACATAATCCATTATTCCTCTTATTTTGTTGTGATTTTGATCCCTCTTCGATTTCCATCCCATTCTCTTCAATTATGCTCTCAGTCATTTCACTTTCGATTGAGGCCACATACTACTTATATCTGTCAGGTTAAGTAGCATATAATACACCAGGATTAAAGACAAACAAGATTACCCAGTAAAAATTTTGTGACGATAACTGGATTTCACTCAACTCATCAACCAATCAAACTCAGACCACTGCTGAAAATCTGGAAGCACTTGGTAGCTGTTTCATCTTAATATGGGACTCCTCAGCAGTAGGTAACCACGACCGCGCCCAGGAAAATCAGTACCGTGCGCGAACACAAAAAATCTAAACCACTGGGTCGGCATCTGGTGGTGTTAAGTTTTAAATTCAATCATTCCTCGACACATTGCAACCATCGTCCTTTGGTTTCCATAGTTAATGGTCTAGAGTTAAGCAGTTTGCGCAAAATTGAATGTCATGGGTTAAATTCCGTGTGAAAGGGTCGTGGATGCTCACGTCTGGTGAGTCACATACTAGAGTAAAACGGCCACCAAGTGCATCCAGATTTCTAGTTGTGTTTCAAAATAGATCGATTGTTGATTTCAATGGTACTGAAATATGTTTTGGTTCGGTAGGAATTACATGTAAAAGTGGGGTTTCCTGAGTGTTATTCAATTTACTATGCAATCCATTTTAAAAATATTAAAACAACACCTAAAAATTAGTTTTAGGGACAAACTAATATAAGTTAAGTTTGATAGGAAATCATGTCCGGTGTACGAAATTGATTGTTTGGTAATATGATCAGTAACTAAATGACATGATCGTATCACTCAAAATTCAGACGCTTCTATATTATTCCAATTATACCTTAATTTGCTCATTCGAAATTAATTCAACTGCATTGAAAATTCCTTCCTCATTCCCATTCTACATTCAGTAGACAAGCTACCAAGAGTAATGACCATATTTTTCAGGAAGAAAAACCTGTTATAAATGTAGATAATATACTTAAAACATTGTCCTCAGATGATGAGCTCTGCTTAGTGGAATGAAAATAATCTAAGTCAGCTGATGAACAATAATCTCATCACAGTCACAATCCACTTATTATTGATCACATATGAGATAGATAATCGAACTCGCAGTGAGCAGTCGTAATTATAAGAATCCGATCATGTCGTGATTGGAAAAATAACAATTAATGATTGTAGATGATTGTCGCGCTTTGTATTGAATTGAATAAGCATAGTTAATCAAACCAATAAACTTCTATTCAGTTGTCTAAATTGACCTCATGATTTCCATCTTTACTGGTTTAGTGCTTAAGCAAGGTGATCATTCACGAGCAAAAACCAATCTTCTTTGTCCTCAGTGTTTCTCTAACTGATGTGTTTGCCGAATAATATCTGTTCGTTTTGAAAATAATCGATTCATTATGATTACGAGTAGTCAGTTCAGAATAAATCATCACTTTTATGAGCTTACGGCAAAGTGTGAACAATTGTCAGAATAAACACAAAAATACAACTTTGATAGAAGAAATAATACAATACCAACTCTACTACATACTCATGTTGCTTGACCTAATTTGAGTTAGTTGTCAACAAATTAAAAAAACTGGTGTGGATAGATTTTAGGAAGGGTAATCCGAGAAGCAATAGCTTTTGAAAGTTAAATTACAGTAAATCTAATACATATATCCAGGAGTATGTAGAATTAATAACACTTAGTTAACAGTATTTTTGCTGCCATTATCGCCGCTATAAAGGATTTACAAGTTATTAAAGGATTCCATGGTGTTTAGAAGTATTCAAACTGATTTGATAACTAAGAATTCCCAAAATAGTGAAATTTAAGGCCGGTAGAATTAAACGAGTACAACTGAACGTATTATGATTCAGATCATGAATCGGTGAATGTTAGGCTACCATTGAAAACCTGGAAGCACTGGATGGCCGTTGGACTACTTAATGGCGCTCATACAGAATTCCACAATCAACATTTGAACCCAGAAATTTCGGTTTGCGCACGCTGGCTCAGTTGTTTAGAGGTTAAGCGTTTGCGAACAAGACCTAAGGTCACGGGTTCAAGTCCCGCATACAGGATCGTGAATGAGCACTTCTGAGTAGTCCCATACTAGGACGAAACGGTCGTCCAATCTTTCCAGGTTTTCAATGGTGGTTCAACTTATATTGACTTAGGAATTCAACTGTTAAAATATAGAAATCATATGGACTAACTGTTATTGAGCACACCAAAAAAATTACTTTATTCATTTTGATAACGTAATTCTATTATCAAAGAATCTGGTTTGAATGAGATAAATAGTTAATGCTAGATGAACTGATAGTTTCAGTCTTGCTACTGTATCGAAAGTTCAGTTCAAATAAAATAGATTATCAATCATAATACCTATAATATTAAAATATTTTTAGAAACGATATTTTATTACTACTGTGGTGTGTGCTACTTATATTGAAATAAGTAGTATATGATGTTAGTCGTGAACAGAAGGTCTGACAGCAGAGAGACAAGAAGATCGAACAGTAAAGAATCGAAACAAAATGCAGTTTGTATAAAAATGCAAGAACAATGAAGTGAATTGATGGACATTTTGCAAATTAAGCATTTACTTTATGATTGTTAGATTTTATTAACAGGTCCTGTAATTTTGTGTTAAGTACGTTTGATTGTTCAGCGAAGAGATCTCTTTTCGACGAATTTATTATCAAGCTGTACAGTCGTATAAATATGAAATTTTTTGTAAAAGTACTAATTCCGTGAGGAAATGTGAACACAGTTAACCATGACGTTTGATTGTCCCAACTCGTGTTCTGTTCACTACACTACTTCAAATAAAAATCAGTAATATACATAACTTACTAACACAATATACTTTACAGTGAATGTGTATTAGAATAAAAACATGAACGGATTGGTTTCTATTATATCCTTTACTAACTAAATCGATTTTAGTCCTAATAATCGTGCTAAATACTTAAGGTAAATCTTGTTGTTGTTGTTTTTTATAGGAGTATAGTTTTAGTTTAATTAGAAACTTGATCTATACAAAAAGGAAGTAATGTTTACTTGAATCAAATTACTTTAAAGAGAATACAAATCCTGAATATAATCGATTTGTTGACATGTGGGGTTACAATTATAAATCATGAACTGTTTATAAATACCTGTGATGTCTAATGGAATAGTATATATGAATAACGTTTTGTTAAATGTTCTAGAATAATCTAGATGAAATAATGCATTCTTATTTCCTACTATCTACAGTAGTTTTAACTTTATCGCTTATATTTCTTGACGGAATTAATGGTAAGTTTATTAAAATATGATTAGTTGATTGTGTGAATAATGATATTAATTATGATTGTTATCATGTTATAGTTCGAAAAAGATTCAATAAATGATTTCTGGGAGGGGGAACCATACGAAGTATTTGTCAATGTTTGCTTACTAGTTAGCGTTTTTTTAGCGAGTTAGTTTTCTACAAGATTGGATCGCTAACCCCATACCCAACCCTCCTCCCTTACCAGGGTTTGGGGCCGGCAATAACTCTAGAAGATCTGCAGGCAGAGTTCAGTATTTGCTTGACTGAATAGAAATGGACTCAAATTATTTCATGGTTTCTAAACCGTTACTTTTAAATATCACGATATATATAGTTTAATTACTTTCTAGAAATCAGTCATTTCAAGTTTCGTTTGTTAAAACAACATGTATGATAAAGTCATGATTGGTAATTACTAAAAAAATGTGAATATTTGACTGTGGTTCATAAAAACATCTGAGACGCATCACTCTTATCAACATCGAATCATGTGGTGTGTGCTACTGATGTCGACAAATATAAGTAGTATGTATCGTCAACGGAAAATGAAATGCATGGTGGCAGAAGGTTAAGAAGATTGAAGAAAAGAGAACGAGAACAGAGAATGATTGGTGTGAAAACGAAGAAAAAATGAAATCTGAGGCGATTGATTGACATTCTGCAAATGAAGAACTTACTGTATGATTCATAGGATTTACAAACTTATTCTGTAATTTTAAGTTCAAATAATTTCGACTGTCTCCGCTTGTGTTCTCGTTCACTACAATAACAATCCCATCAATAGTGGTCTTAATTGACTTTTTTAGTTAGTACTATGGTCTTTCAAGTCCGAGTTAAGGAGAATGTTTCATTTTTGGATTCACAGAAAGTTTTATAAAATCACTACTTTTTAGTGTGTTAATTACAGATGGTTACTACAGTCTAAATCTATAAATATGTAGTGAAGATGTATTTGTTGTTTCTACTTGAGTGTAAAGGCAATTCGGTGACATTAACATACCCCGATTTCCTTTTAAAATTGAGTGTTTTCGGCAACTGATGTGATCTTTTTGTTTAACCACAACAATTTGAATATTTATCCTTGATAACCAAACAATTACCTATTGAGCAATTTTAATATCCTATATACAGTAGTGAATGGAGAAGGTGGTAAGTCAAACCATGATTATACTGAAATCACTTAGAATCAGAATCTGATAAACTTTTAAATGACCTCCTTTGAAAAACCGATTGTTCACATTTGTTTATTCATTCAGTACATGATATAACACAGAGAAAAGCTTAAAATATCAACTCGAGATATTTGCTTTAATATTAAACAGGTCATGTTAATTGAGTTTGTCTACGTCAGTTTGATAATATTCACTAATTTAGACAGTATGTTATTGTTCTTGTTATCAATGATATTAAACACCATGACAACTTATCAACTTGATGTGGTGCACATTATTCCTTGCATTTATGCCCATTATTCTTCTTCTGAGAAAATGACCATAGCATCAAATAAAGTAAATTTGTACTGCGTAAGATATTTCAGCACACAGACGACACGCACTATATATTGTTTTCTAAAGAATGTGTTTTAGTCAGTGCTATAAACGTTTATCATCAAGATAGTCAAAGTAATTAAAATGTATAGTTATTTAGCATTAACATAATGAATTAATTTGGTTTAGTTACTAGGCTGCGAAAAGTACCAAGCCTTGACAATACTGTTTCTATTACATCAACAAATGTTTCTGTAGCTCACTAAATAAATTTGACGTTTGAGGCTATGTTTATTAGATTTGAGTTTCGAAGGTAGTTTTGCAATGCAAGTAGAAGTGTAATTTTGATGGTGTATTTTGGGTAAGGAATGACATTTAGGACATTCCAAATTTCACTTTTCTGTTTCCCATTGAGTATATGAACTATGGTATTTGATAAAAATTACTTTGAAAATAGAAAACTTACAGAATGCAAATGTCGTTTCCTAGTTATTTTCGACGTTAGGTGAGTTTAACTATGAAAGTAAATTCATAGTAGGTCATTTGAACTATCGCGGAATTTTCTTAATCATTAGTTTGCTATTACAGTTGCTCAGAAGTGGATTTATGATTTTCATTGTCATCCAGTAACGCGAATCGGTTTAATAGTTAACCATTATGGCAATGAAAACTGTTTTATTGAGAAAAATTGTTATATACACATTAATTAATAGTTTATAGCTACATTAAGTTTAATGTGAACCAATCTTTAATGAACTTTGGTGTTAGTTTTGAACAGGTAAAGTAGAACATTCAAAATATTAGATTTGTTAATGTGACATCAATTTTTAGTAGTTGAAATCATGAGTCAATTGAAACTAGACCACCATGGACAAACTGGAAGCACTGGACGGCTGTTTCGTCCTACCGTGAGACTCCTAAGTGGTGCACATCCACGATCTCACATCTCCAGATTCGAACCCAGGACCTATCGGTCTCCGGGAGGCGCTTAACCAACTAGACCACTGAGCCTGTTGGCATCCAACGGTGTTAATGTCTAAGTTCAACCAATCCACGAAATTGAGCGACACATCCACCATTGTCTTCACTGTGTTACTATCTCACAACAAACCTGGTTGAACTCCACTGCTCACTTCTTCTCAGTAGAACTGGTCCAGGGTTCGTATCTCGCGAGGTGAGATCGTGGACGCGCACTGCCGAGGGGTCCCATACTAGGACGAAACGGCAGTTCAGTGCTTCCAGGTTTTCCATGGCGGTCGAGCTTCAATTGTTTCATGATCTCAAGTATTAAAATACTATAATATCCACTAAGTTAATATACGTTCAATAACTTCGAGTTTCCATTGATATATTAAATTTCTCAAGCTGATCTAAAATGTAAATATCGTACTCCACAAAAAGTTTCCTTAATGATTTAAAATTATGACAGATAATTAATATTGAACAATGAAATCGTGGTGTTCAGGTATGTAAATCAACATACGTTAGTTCTTTTGAGATAGTCGAATTACTCTTATGGGATTTTCAATACCATTATTCTATGACCTCGACATTAAAAATTTCACTTTTACTTAAATAAACAGAATGATAAAGAAACAAATACAAGTTTTGAGACTGTTTTCAGAAGTCAATATTTTATGTTTCTATTATAAATAGATTATTAATTAACATTTAAATATGCAGGACATTTTTCTTAGAATGTTGGTAAGTTTATCACATCTTTAACTACGTGTAAGATTCATAAGTAAATCATGTTTGTTGAGTAGTGGATTATTTGAATATGGTTTATTCCTGGGACGGAATCAGAAATGGATCTTTAACTTGAAGTCTTACTATGTAGCTATGCTTTCATATTATTGGGTTTCTCAATTGCGTGTATTCAACATTAAGTCAGATCATTAACCTTTAGGTATATCACGGAGTTTAATATCAATGATCTACTTTCGTCTAATAATATCAGTGGTCAACCAGCTCACTCGAAACATGCTTCTTTTTAAAAATAAAAATCCATCTTGACACTACTAACAAGTCAACATAGGATTACTGTGAAATTAGGTCACCTATACAAGTTATTCAATGTAATTGCATTTGTCCAGTCAGCAATGAGTACTAAATCATTGATTTTTGGGACTTTGTATGAACACTGATGATGTTCTAATAATGCTATGTATTTTATTATTTACTGTGTAATCAATAAGCTAAATTGTCTAATTTCTTTACCAACAGGTTAAACTTGTGTTTACGTTTAAAAGGAACATTCGATTTCTTCCTTGGAGATTTGAAACCAAAATACGGGGGACGACAAAAACCATGAATTATGTAACTTCTCTTACTCTGTTAGGTTTTCTTTTTAATACAATTTAAACTAGATATTTTATCTGATTAAGAATTAATGTAAGCACCGAGATTTATCTAATGCCAAACTTTTGTATATTATAGTAGCTTCCGGTTGTTGTAACAATGAAGTGCTTCACTATAGGTATTGAACAAAAATAGTACCAAACTATTACAAAAATTATTTGTGTTTTTTTATGCGCCATTCAAACTTCGAATATGATGAATAGAATATTTGATAAATATTTAAGTTCTCAGAAGGAGTTTTGTGGAGATTTTAGAAATTTCACAGATTGAAATCATGAGTCAATTGAAGCTAGATCACCATGGAAAACCTGGGAGCATTGGACGGCCGTTTCGTCCTAGTATGGGACTTCTCAGCAGTGAGCATCCACGATCCTGCACCCCGCGAGATTCCAACCCAGGACCTATCAGTCTCGCGCCAGGCGCTTAACCAACTAGACCATTGGGCCGGCATCCAACGGTGTTAATGTCTAACTTCAACGAATCCACGAAGTTGCGCCACCGTACAGAATTGTGTTCAGCGAGCTAATATTTCACAACAGATCTGATTGAACTCCACTGGTCACGGCTTCTCATTAGAACTCCAGGAGTATCTCTTGAAGTCAGTCCATATGAGCAGATGATTATGATCAGAAGGGCTTTCGTGAAGATTTTAGAAATATTTAAGTAATTAATAAACTGATCATATTATTAACATAAGTAAATGGTAATAGGAAATGTAAAAGATGTACTAAGATTAATACAGTCTACATATCACAAATAATGAATCTTTAAACAAACATTTTCATTGATTTAAGCACAACTGTACAACAACAAAAGTCTTTCAAAAGTAAATATTCATGTTTCGAATTTCATTTGGTAAATTTATTTTGTATTTAGTAACATTAACACACACGATCAAGATGAATAATTTAATTCGTACTGAAGATCTTTATTCAAAAATATTTTCGAGCAATTTGTTTACTGAAGCATTATTCTATTCATTCACTGAAAACAATCCCATTAGAAAATAATGATAATCAATATTATCTTGAGAAAAGTGGTACATCTGGAAGTTCAGCACTGAACTTTAATTTAATGTGTTTGGGTAGTGTAATATCTTGTGCTCTGTGTCCTATCAATGTATATCGCAATGATACCGCCAATTAGAGAACAGTGAATTATCGACCGAACCAATGACACATAAAACAAGTACAAGCAGTTAGAATCCTTATCGGTCCTGCTTCCCGCCTAACCCTGCCTGTTAAGTCCAGAACACCAATCTCAGACTCTGCGATATGAATCATTTACTTCAAACATAATCCCTTTATATACAAATCAAACAGACCACATCGTACCATAAAATAGGAAACAAAATTTATACAAGCTTTATCCAAAAGTGGCTGTGAATGTGGGAGGTAGTAATTGATAGATTAGGCATATATATATATATATATATATATATATATATATATATATATATATATATATATATATCCCTCGACAGTCAGGTTCAAGTTGAAATTAAAACCAGGTGTGCTCAAATGTATGACAAAATCGATCCATGACTTTCTCATCGCTTCTTGAATTAGAAACGTAGTTGTCTGTTAAATGGTCAATATTGATGAGGTACGATTTAGTTTGTAGGTCAGTCATAAGTAATGTAGTAGCAAATAATGTCTAGAAAATTTTTTGCAAGCTCTTCTAATTAACTGCTAATGCAGCATAAACAATACTTATTCACTGTGGCTGCATCTTGCAATCTTTGAAGGAATAATTGGGAATTAGATAAACTTATTTCACAATAGGTTAGACTAATTTATACATTCTCGTGTTGATCTAAATGAAAGTTACACGTCTCAAGTATTGGTTGATTTAGAACGCACAAACTGTTTACTCATATGAAGTGACTGGTATAATTAAGTGATTTATATGAACAAGCGTATCTTATAGTTAAATATGAATACCTGATAACTTCTTGTGACATGTGGCAAAACAGTGGAAATTATACCTACTTTATAATAACAATAGGTTAAGTGTCTGATTCTTGTTTGACTGGCGAACCGTACTCTGCATGCGACTATGAGAAAATGTAAAAGTGATCTTGCCAGACGTGATCGATTTCTTAGCCAAGGGGAATAATGAATATGATATTACAGAAATCCAAGAGATTGGATTAATATACGCTTTCTATGCGGTCAATAAAATTCCTAAGGTTCAAAACAAGATAGTAAGTTAAGGTTCGAAAGAAAGTTTTACAAATAAAATAATTAAAATTAAGAGTTATATTTGAATTACGGCTTGGGCTCACAGATGGCCTTAGAAATTAGGATTTATAAAAATAATTAGAAAGTAAAAATGCCTTGTAATCAATCAGTTCTTTCATTTCAATTCTCAATATCGAATAAGTTACATTGATAAGTTCATAGATTATGCCGAATTGTCATATACACACTATACCTATTTGTGTATTATTATTTGTTGTATAGAAAGCTAAACACTTTCTCAACGTCACTGTCACAGTCGCTCAAGTTTGCTCCGATTCTCTAACTTGACCACCTTCAACAATTTCAAGCATTTTTACTAACTTAATATCTGTAGGTTTTACTTCGCTCTTAACAAGATACAAATGGACCATCATCGTACATTGAAATTTGTAATCATCTTAAATCTCATTAATCCGTCGGTAAAGTATAATTCCAGCGTCTAAACTTCCTTATAGCCAGAAATATTTCGGTGAAATTTTCAAGTTTAAAATAAATGGATCCATTCTATATTATGGTCGACATTAGTGAACAGATCTCACTGTTAATTAATTTCAAAATACAACCCACACGTTAATTTCTAGTGCTTATGAAAAGTTTTGATAAGACTAATTTTTGTGACCAATATTATTTTGATGCTATGATTACTAAACTAATTATCCTGTCAAACATACAGTACATAAGTACTGAAAATGTAACACTTATTAAAATTAAAGCTGTGTACATTATTTATACAATTTCCAGTAAATATCCGGTGTAAATTGAATAGTTTCAATGTTACAAATAAATAAAAGGAGTGATGTTTAGTGATATATTTTGATAAAATCGGCAGTGATCTTATTGAAAACCAAATGATTCAGCTATTTAGATGAGCCCTTTAACAAAGTACATATTATAGTTAACAAATTATATTTTTCTCGACTTATCTATCTATCTATATATATATATATATAGTAGTGTGACTAAACTTTAGGAAAATGACGTTTCATGTTCACAATAAGTGTTAACCGAGAGAAGAATATTAAAGCAATTTTCGAATAATTGGATCTTACTTTGGTTGATAAGTGACAACTAAATTATTTACACAGTTAAGGAAAACATATAAATGTTTACACATGTAAACTAAAACTGAGTTACATGTTAATGTGACTAAAACATGGCTACGTTGTTTCTGGAAATGTAAACAAAATAATTAAAGTAGTTTGAAAAGATCAAGCGTTAATTTTAATTTTTGCTTCTTCCTCATTTATTGTTGCCAATGTTATGTTTGAGGAATCGCTTTACTGAATGTACTTAGTACTGAAATCCCAAATCCAACGGCGCATAATCAAAATATAAAGACTGATGATATGAACTTCTTTGATCATGAAAATAGATCAACCTAAAATCTAAATGTACTAATTTTTGTGTAGTTTCTTTACAGTCGGATTGGCATTCAAATCTGTATAATTTGAACTGGGTATTTTCTATTATCAGTTAATCAATAACTTGCTTTCTAAATGTGTGTTTAGTTTCGTACTGAGTTACTTTCATATTAACTAAATTTTCCACTTTTGTTTCTGTCTTGTCATCTTTGTTCTTGTTTTAGCAATCATTCACAACTATTCGCAATGTTTTTCTATCATTCAGAGGTCAGTAGGACAAATTTAACGATATCACAATTCATCATCTCAGTCTCCATTTCGATGGAATTTTTTTTCATTAATGTAAAGTCGTTAAGCATTGACAACACATAATATATAATATGATTTGAATTGTTGCATGCAGTTTCGTCCAGTTTTGTACAAACTTCCTCAACAGGTGCAAGCTGTGCTGGTCTCCTTTAAAAATAACGCCTTAGACGAACTGGCTGCATCTGCCGACTGCATCTTAGAAATCACGAAATCTTCTAATATCGAGGTTTTTTCAGTCAAAGAAAAGCCTCAAACGACCCAGAATGACGACACCGCACGAAAAGCATTCTCCACAGTTAAGGAACTTATCGCTAAAGCAACAATGCTTGCACATCAGGACACTCAAGCATCCATTATCACCGCAGTGGATGCTCGCCTGGCATGAATAAAGACATGAGGGAGTGGGCACGCTCCTGTGTAAGCTGCCAAAAATCTAAGGTCATCAGATACAATAAATGTCAATGAAATCAAAAGAGAGAAGCGAGGAGGTTAGAAGATATGTTTGGTAGGCGTTCACACTCGTGAACTGGTGCGGTTGCATGACCGAGCGCCTTCAGCTAAGTGAGTTCATCTAAACTAATGTGGTCAGCATCCAATGTCGAAAACTTACAGATCAATTTATTTTTGGGATTTATTTACCGCTACAATATCCTTTTAGCTCTCTGCTCCTTCGTGATAACAAATGTTGTAGAATGTTCCTACATATTACAAATTGCATTGCAATAATTTTTTGTTCTCCCAAACGAAATGAGACTCTCATTACGCTAAACTGACATGTATCAGAACTTCTCCTAACTAAACTCATATATGAAGGTATTTTAACCTATTTTGCAGTTGTGATATTTAGGTGTTATAAGTTATGAGTAAATGGCAAGAACCCAGCGAAATGAAAAAAGAAATATTTTTCCTGCCTATGCCTTTGTTCTCAAATCAGACAAAATGATGTGCTGAACTATGTTATTCTAATATGAGATCATAAGTTTTATTAAGCCATCTCATTTTTTTTCGAAACTTGTGTTGTCTGACGTATGAACCAAAGCAAATGAAGATATTATAAGATCCAAACTAAGGTTTGGACTGAAAGATAGCTGTCTAGGTGGGTTAGACACGCGCCCTTGCCCGTTCAAAAACAAAACAAAGTAATTGAGTAAAATGACCGTTCTATAATTGATCATAAATTTAAATGTACATTGTCACCTAAACAAATATGACTACCCAGCTATCCAACCAATAACCGTTCAATTAATCAAATCAATCACAACAAACAAATGCTATTCTATCCTGTCTGGATAGATCACGCACAGATTCGTTCAAAAGATGATAATTGGTTACTTTATAACACAGAGTGTTTCCAATTCTGGAAGAGTGCGTCAATTCACACCAGAAATGCACAATTCCAGTCAATGCAAGCAACGCAATCAAAAGCTTGGAAAAACCAATATGGCTGCCGCCAAGAATAACACATCAAGTATAGTAACATAAATGCAGTTCGGGAAGAAATGCAGAAACTTGGTGAAGGCGTAAGAAAAATAAGAACTATATGAAAAATACGAATAATAACAACTCAAATGGAATCAAAAAGACTAACGATGTACAACTGAAGGAATCAGTAGGAACAAACTGCAAATGTATATACATGGAGGGATTTTCACACACAAAAGATTCAAAATGGATCTTACAAATGTATTTGCATTTGACAGAACAATTTATTGGTATGAGGACATTACTAGACTTTTTTTATCCTTTTACAGTTTTTTGATACTGTTACTTCGACAATTCCTGATTTACTATTTATACAAAATGACTTAGACTTCGAGGTTTAGTTAGTTCTGAACGAAGCAAAAAGAAACAGCAACTCATGACCATCACGGTAGGGTAATCGAGAGTATATATTTGTTGCACAGTGTGACATGACTTGAATTAGACCGTCATGCCATTACACTTGGTTTGTTTGAACTCAACATCCCTATGCAACCATGAAGCATGTGGTTAATTGTTCCCTTAATGAATATTCAACTTCAAGTATTATACGATATTCTAAAACCACAAATGTTTTCATCCACAAAATGATAAATTACAAGTATGGATTCGTAGTTCTAAAAGGCTAGCATGTACTCATGTCAGGAGTTATACCTTAATACTCGTATACAAAATATTAACCTTCATTATCGCGCACAAGTTAACCGACAACTCGATGAAATAAACCAAAATGTTTTTAATCATTCATGTTGCGTACAATTAATAAAACGGTACAACAACTAGAATTCTGCTGCAACGCAACGATAGACTACCACAATCTCGTTCCAGTTAAACGACCTGATGAGCATGACCAGTTGACCATGAATATTGATTAATTACATAATGAAATCCTGTGATTACTTATGATTCACCATGAGACCATCCAATGAAAAGTCGGACGCTTATTCCGCAATATTGAAATCACGGTTGTTTATGGACTATCATGGCCGTGTTCAAATTAGGTAGAAGACTAAGGCACACAAAAAACGACTTAATCTTCAGGTAGTAAGGGAGTTGGCAACCATCTAATCAATTTGACACACTATACACTATACAGTCAGTACATTACTAAATTAAACGTACTGAGTGCTGATATAGTCGCGCCGGTGGTATCATAAAAACAAGGCAGAATATAATGTTATATCATGACTTATAAAATTTTTAACATTTCTGTCACTATATGCTTCATCTGTTTTCCGGTTCCATGTGGGAGTGAATAATAGAGAAACCCTTCATTCCTCTATAAAAATGATCAGGTGTCTGTACTGTTTTGTAGCCTCTTTTTAGTAATTGATTTGTTTGTATGCATTGAGTTTAGGCGTTAAAGTAGTGCGCGGAAAGTTGAATTCCCAGTTAAATATAGATTGCTGTTTAGAGTTTTTGATAACCAGGACATTTGTAAGTCATTAAGTAGTAGGATTTTCGTGAATACCACAAATTGAACATCAGTTTTTACTAGAATATTTTGTCAGATGAACTTTTGTTGACAACGAACCACTGGTGTTTGGTAACACCACAAGTTTGTCACTTGGAGAATACTGTATGTTGTTGGTGTTGGTAGATGATTATAACTCACACTTGCGTTCAGTAAAATTTTCAATATTATGCATCTCGATGTAGCGAATCATGTAGTTGTATCTGTTTCTGATCTCCCTACTATTTGGGAAAATTTTGTCTGTTTAGGTGAAATTTTGGGAAAGCGTAACATAAAACACTGGAAGACACGAATCATTAAAATGTTTGGGGAGATCTTCGGTTTTTCCCAGTTCTTCCTCATTATCTTATGACACTGAGGTTTTCCTTCATACTTTTGGGAAATCTACCATATTTCTTACGACTGGGGAAAATCACGAAATAGGGCGATTGATTTGGATATTTTCCTCATTCATACCGGAGTTAGTTCTTATTGTCTGTCCTCTGATTTTACTTGTTTAGGTTACATACTTTGAATGACTAAGTCTTTTCAGCGAATGTGATTTTCTACTATCACCATACAGTATTTAATTTAACTTGTTCAAAAGTCTGTCGTCTCTATAGAATAAGCTGTTGCTTTCATTTTTTGACTATTAAACACGCTTAGTCCATTGTGCGTTTCTCGACACTAACGCACATAAAAACCTCAATACTCCTTACCCAGTGATTATTTTCACATTTCCAACGCTAATACCTTACAATATTTACACATGTCTAAGTCAACTGGTTGGGAGTAAACATCAGTTTGAATCTATATACATCTATGATGTTTTATCCTTCTTGATATTTGCTCCATTTCAACGTAAGGTCGAGCCCTAAGATGTACGTTTTCACTAGGCATTGTTCTGTAGGGTTCGTCTCATTGCACTAACTGTGATTATGGCTTGTGTCTCTGTTGAGACTTTAATGTGTTGAAGTGCAACATGGATGTCAGTTTTTATTAAGATTACCAGGGTACTCATTCTTAGTGGCAATTTCCTTAGTGTCCAAATACTGACCTTATTTTATATGCCGTATTCCTGTTTTGTTTAGCTTTAATTACTTGTCGTTATATAGCGAAATGAACTACATCTAATTTAGTTGTTTACTGATCCACATTACCATGATGCTACAGTGTCTAGTAGTGTCCTCGAAATATCCGGTTGTTTTCCTAATATGTTAAGCTGAAAATGAGTCCAGCAGTCGATTGGTTGGAGTGTATAAGTGACCTACAAACTGGTGTCCTCCAGTAGAATCATGTTTCTTCAAGTCGACAATCTATGTGTAAGTTTCTCTTGTTACACAAATAACCACACAGTCACGTATAGTTGCGCTTAACTCTTGAAAGATGTACATAAATGGCCACCTGATGTGTCAGAACCAGCTGGTAAACACCATTGATGTTAGATATATGTTGATGGAAGGTGGCCATTCATTTAATCAAATGACGAACCGTCGCCAGGTATATGATTAAGATGTGCTGCAGAAGTCCATCTTTTGGTCCATAGGGTAACTACGATCTGCTTCGTTTGATATCATTATATCGTTTTCGCTTGAGTTTTTATTCCTAACCATTTAGTCTTGACAACCACCAACTTCAGTCATTATTACAGATCATGTTACATAACAAGCCCTTAAGGTGACTCAACGATGGACTGAATAACCTATGTTACTATCATCGCTGGAAAGGTTCATCTGAAGACTAAACCTTGTTCCGAAGCACATGTTTAAACTTTGATCATGCTTTGACGCAAAGACGCGTTTGCTTGCCTCTTACTGGGACCATAAGATTCACAGCAGAAAGAACTTTTAGATTTCATCCGTAGATGAAAAATCAAAATCACCTCTCAGGAACATCATTTTAAATACCTAGTCAACCATTAAAGGGATGTCCATTCTGATCCAGCTTGGTTCGATATCAAAACAGCTGCAAAAATAGTGGTATATGTTAGTGACTTGAGTCAAAAGTCCAGGGGAATCAGTGAATTTCGGTGGGATCTGAATTTATAAGAATCCCATCAGACCCAAGCGCAATGAAAACTTGAAAGTATACTAACAAAAGTTCTACTTGGTGGAAAAAAAACATTGTCTACACTATTGCAGACTAAAACGATGTGCAGAACACTTTAAGGAGCGGTTCAACTGGCCCCCATCTACCCTATGATTACCTTCTATTACCAAACAATCTGGGAGGTCGGGTTCGGCCTTCACGTGTAACCACTGTAGGAAGTAATGCAGTTGAGTGCTGACCACTTCACTTATCTTTGGAGTTCCATTAGTCCCGGTGGGTTGGTATTTGATAAAATCTCCATGGATTCAGAAGACTTACTTGGCGTCTGCAAACTTGCGTCACTTGCATTAGGTAATCTAGATTTTTTAACAATCTTCATCCGCTTACTGTGTTCGACTTAATGTCTGTGAAACGGTCTTTAAAAGTAAGGGAAATTAGTGAGTTACTAGTCTTGGGTCATAGGTGTCCCAAGTATTTATCGTTTGTGTTAGGACCACCAGGTGACCAGTGTTGAGGTTATGCGTGGAGTACTGGACTTATATGTCAAGTCGGTTGATGTTTTAAACGTCTATCGTCTGAAGAGTTTACAAGAACTACTACGTATCCTTTACTTTGCCTACCTGAACGCCCAATGTTTAATGAGTTGGGAAGTTAGGAGTTAGGAGCTCTCTGACCAAGTGTATGAATTCATTGGCTGTTGATCTGATTCGTATTAGTAGTTACGGACGTTTTGGTCCGAACGATCATCTTGACCATTTTTCGGAAACGTCGGGTGACGTGACTCAAAATCACTCACATGGGCTCATTCTCGTGCTAATATGGTTTGGCAGCTCGAACCAGTTCATGTTTCTGCCTGAATCTGCGTTGCGTTGAGTCCCCTCCATTGTAAAGGGTTATGAGTTAGACCAGTTTGATTTTGTCTAAGGTCTCTTTTTCTATTTGTTTTTCCTATAATCCAACAATGGTACGTAGTTTTTCAAGTCACCGGTTGCAGTCTTTCACTGTTACCCAACCAGTGGTATAGAAGAACATAGTATCCAAGTTTTACTGAGAGATAATTTTATACTTAGATGAATTAGTCTCAGAATGATAATTTGGAAAACTGGTCAATATGCTTCAGTTTATGAAAAAGGATGTCTATTTTAACGAAAACTATCAGAATGGCTTTCACTTTCCAGAGCGGTTTCGTATAGGGTGCTACTACCATAGTGTTGATTTCGTTTTTTTCTGTCTTAGGTTGCCTTAAATATGTGTGGTAAATTTTAATCACCATCTTTCAGTTGCTTCATAACGTGAAAATTGCTTTTTTGATATATTTTTTATATTTCGTACTTATTTAGACTTAACTATGCCTCGTAACTTTAGTCTTCAACCCGAGAGAAAGAGCCGTATGACTGGAATCCCTTCTAATATCAAAGCAAGGTAGGTTGTTTGTTAATCATTAGCTGAACATTATTTAGGACTTCATCTGTTGGTCCACAGGAACAAAAACCTGTTAACCGTGAGGTTAAATCTAAAGCAAATATCCCTAAGATGATAGGAAGTTTAATCCAGGTAAACCATGTTTTGACAGGCTTAACTTTCATTTGACTTTAGTTTCTGGAAACCACCGACTATTCAAATTCCCTTTCTCCCAAAATCCTCCATTCACCCAACTCAAAAGAAATATTTTCAATATTCGAACATCTTGTTCGACAAATTGAGCCCTCCTTTCGTATTGAAAACGACGGAATGAAAGCGGAAGAAGTTTGTCTGAAGTAAGAATAATTTTCTATAAAAGCAAACAGCATAATCCTTGGTTTTTCTGAAGTTATCTTAAAATTCTAGGCTACCCAAATATTCTTAGTAAGCATCACTTATTAGCACCTGGTGCTCCTCAAGCCTGGAATTCAGTTTTAGCAGCGTTCGACTGGTTCAGAGAAGAAACAGAAAATGCAAATGACGTAATCATTTCATTATTGGTCATCTTTATATTCATCTGTGTTTAGGCTATAAATTTTTCGGTGTTCGGGTATGATGATGATCAAGATACTGAAGAAGAGCCGCTGAATAAAATTATTTTTCAATTGAAGTCAGTTATTTTTAAAAGAAGACGCGAAGGCCTTGATATATTTCCAAGTGATATTGAAGTATGTCGGTGTTTCACCTTTTGTAACAGATGTTTTTTTCTCTGTATCTGATTTATCTCAGTCAAACAACCATTGAAAACCAGAAAATATTGAGCAGCCTGTGGTCCTACTATGGGACTCCTGGACTCAATCAATGGTGGGGTCGTCAGTCAGTCAGCTACAACGTACAACCAGGCACATATATGCATCGGTCCAAGTTGCCATACCTCATTAACACAACAAGACGAACACCTGATTCATAAAAGTAGTTAATTCAGAGGTGGTAATATATAAAAGAAAGATTGGATATAAGGATATAGTACAGGAAGAAAGAATTAGTTCGTAGAAAGAAAGATATAAAGCGACTTTAATCTCTTAGTTTAAGGGAAGACAGAGAGTGTATACACCGATGCCATTGTGATCGATTCTGAGCCGTGTCACCAACAGTCTCAAACCATTGGTCACAATAGTCGCGTTGACCGCAACAAAGCAGTCTGCATCTATCAACATTGCTGGGACTAGAAGTTAGTGACTTCATCCATCTCTTTTGCTTTCGTTACCCACCGCTGCTCACGGTCGTTTCTTGGACTTCTGCTCAACCTAGATCTGATTTGTTTACGCTCTTCATCGTGTCCAGAACCTGATGGGATGAGTTTGCGAGAATCCATCAATGCAATAGACCTTAAAGAAATCCATTGATTCTTTGTAACCTTGTGGTTTAAGTCATTGATAGATTTCACTGCTGTTTCCATAGCTGTTTGTATATCTTTCCAAACAACGTCCGGGTCAGCCTCGTTTTCGGAACTACCTAAGTGTGACCTCAGTTGTTCCTGGAACCTACTTTTCGTTTTCTCGTTACTCAATTCAGTTTTAATGGGTCTTTTTAGTGTGGCGTTTTTGCGTCCAGTGTGGCGCAAACATATAATATATATATATATATATATATATATATATATATATATATATATACTTAGGAAATGAACTCATTTTTTATCAGTAACAAGCGCTTGTAGTCAGGGTCACAACGTGGCTTTCTCATTTGGCAAATGTGAATTGGTTCACTGTATCACTTTGTGCTACTCAAAAATACGTTCGGTCTCTGTTTAGTAATTAATATTATTTCTATCTTGGGACATTTGATTAGTCACCAAAGTTAGATATGTTTTAAAAGTACCAAGCGGTATATTTAGCTCAGTTCTTTCAACATCAAACTATTGACTTTGATTCCACCGGTCGACAGTACAACGATAAACCATATCGAAAGCGTAGAAACGTAGATAACATCAGTATTGGTCACAAACTAAACACTATGAGTGTAGTTTTGAAGCACTGAAACAAGTTGATGAAGAAAGTTTAAAATAATAGTGAACTCAAAATTTCACGGAGAAACAATTGTGCCACTGTATCATTGTGAGTGATTCTGATTTGTCTTGCCTAAAGATTTACCGTTGACTGCAATAATCGATTGGATCCAAAGCTTTCAACTCCCTCCAGTTAATAATGAATTCATAGGTTGATCCTGTTTCTTTGTTTGACCACTCTTATTCATTCCCGATCTACCGTCACTCTGGCTAACATTTTGCGTCTAGATGGTTGATGAATGGACTTGGTTCCACTCTTGGTCAATATTATCTGACAACCTTATAAACAAATATACCGTCTTTACTTAATGCACTAAGTTAGATTTTAGGATTGAAGTTTTTGTGTGAAAATTCTCTTCTTTTGCAACCTGAAACTGAATATTTATGTTATAACCTGGATTCCATCCAAGGCAAATGAAATTAATTTTAAATGCATTCTTACCCCCCACTTTTCTGAGAAAATGGTACTTATTTTCGAAAGAATGGCTTTGTTTTTTTGCATTGAGGATTACCGTTGTCGTATCAACAGAGTATTGAACGCTCCAAGTGAAGATGATATGAAGAAGCTTTATGATCGTCTGAATGAAGTGGATAAAGAAATGAATAGTATAAATAATGTAGACGGAGAAGAAAGATCATTAAGAACTCAATTAGCTGAGACGGAATCGAGTTTAAAATCACTAGACGAAAAGTTGCGCGACCATGAATCTCAGATAGCTAAGTTAAAGGTATATTTTTATTTTCCTTCAAAGTGCTGTTTTATGTTAATTGTTCCTTACAAGGTACGTAGTCAGTTATTATCACTTGGAAAGTTGACCTCATAGGCATAACACTTGACTTTCAGTTATTGGGTCTTCGTTTCTAAAACCCTCTGCCTATTTACGCTCCTCCAACTGGCACCTACTCCTAGCAGGATCACCTAGTTTCACTGTCTCAGACGTTACCTCCAAGAAATTAGAACTGTTACTAATATTTACATAGATGGAGCACTTATTAGTAACTAAAATCACGCTTATCTAGTCGTTATTTGGATTCTGTTTCCGAGATCAAGATTTTGACAACAGCGTTTGATCAGAATGTTCCAGTTAACTCTTCGTACAGAAACCACAATGTTTGAATAAAACCCATTATTGTATACGCTTTCTGTCTATATTAATCTGATACCTAAAAGATCATTTAATAGTGTTATCAAACCATTTCTCATCTTTCAAATACTCATAAATTTAAATGGTATATTTCGTAGCATGATTTATTTACGTTTTCAGTACTACTTGGTGATAAATGTCATACTAGAAGTTATGAAAATTCGCTCAGGTCATAATAGATTTGTGACTTGGTGATATCGACATTAGTCTATTACCTATTGAGTCTCTGGTTTCAATCCACGATGTCCAATTCTACCTGAACTGTTTGATTGTATTGTTGGCTATCGTGCGATCGTTTTTACTCACAAATTAGTACACTTAAAATCAACATGGTAATATGACTAACTAAGTGGTTTAGATACCTGATCTTCAAGTATGTTTATCCACTCTGTATTTCTAGAATTTTTGAACAATAAGGTGTTGACTCTTGCTAATCCGACCAAGTTACTTTCATTGCTTAGTATTCTTCGGACACTACTCCATCCGACTACTCCCCAGAATCAGCACACTTCTTGGACAAAAACGTACTATGTTCCCAAACAAGGAAGCGAGTTAACTAAGTCGAAGTTGCAGTCAGGAATATCCCAGTATATACATATATTATACACCGAAGGGCTCTACTCTTTGCCTATTTATTACCGTTGATCTGCTCATTTTTAAGGCAATAAGCGCAATCCCTGCATAAAACATGCCTTAATCAAATGAGTGACCTACCAACTAAATGTTATATCTTTAGCTCTCATTTGAAAGATATGGTTCATGATTTGATCCATTGATAGACCCTTCCTTGGTTTTTGGTTTGTATTAGTTATATTTTACTACATTGTTACGTAGTTCTGTTATTAGGTAAAAAGTACATTTTCAACTCATCTCTGTATACTGACTATACTATAATTCCGTGTTAAATGTGCGGCAATTAACAAAATGTTTATGTATGTAATAGAAAATATGCTTTTCGACAGTCTTTAGACGAAGAGCGCACAGAAGTTTTAAAGGAACTTGAATTAAAAAACAAAGAAGCAGAACAACAGTTGGCTACAGTACGTGCAAAAGTAAAGGAACAAGAAGATGCTGGGTATGTTTTCTTTTTTCAATAAATATATTATTTATGGTTTATCTACTGAGTAGAAGTGTTTACATTCAACTTCCAACTTCTGCCCGCTCACTGCCTACAAATTGAAATAAGTAGTACAATATTACAAACTGTCGCCCAGTTATTTTGATGTTAAGTGTTGAAATCACTAAGTCTTTCTAGCACACTACATAATATTTGCGTCTAGAGTATTAGACTATTTCTATTCTTTTTTAAACTAACCACTCGTTAATTGTGTTAAATTTACCAATCATACTTGTCTCCATTTTTTACAAGTTTTCAAATAATAATCGTTTGACTTAGCTTTTTAAAGTGATTATTTTAAACCATATAAGTAGTTACTACTTATTTTAATACCATTTGAAAGATGTCAATCTGTTATTCAGATTGATTTTTCGCATTAGTTATCTTATTATCGTATTCCTTCACGCTAAGTTTTGATTACGAACGAAGAACGTTCATTGATCTTAAATTGCGGTACTTCTTCATAGGTACCTCTTCATCCTATCGTTTCGAACTATATTTTCAATTCTTCTTTCTCATTACTATTTCAAATACATTATTTCGATCATTTTTTTGTTATTCATCTTCTGCTAATATCTTGTTCAACTGCATCATAGACCTATTGATAGAAATAACATTCTCGTCGACTGAATTCTCGGGTATTGATCTCCTACCAGGAGGTCCACTTATCGACTTAGAATACGCAGATGATATAGTCCTGTTTGGTGAAGACGCTGATACAATGCAGAGTCTTCTGGTAGCACTAATCAACAATGCCAGAATGTTTGGAATGCTCTTCTCTCCCTCTAAATGCAAGTTGTTGCTTCAGGACTGGTCTGCGTCAACACCTGAACTAAGGATAGGGAGTAAAGTAGTGAACGCGTTGACAACTTCACTTACTTTGGAAGTCTGATCAGCCCTAATGGGTTAGTGTCTGACGAAATCTCAGCACGGATTCGAAAAGCTCGTTTGGTTTTTGCCAATTTACGTCACCTATGGTGAAGGCGAGATTACCGTCTATCAATAAAAGGACGAATATACTGTGCAGCCGTTCGTTCTGTTTTAATTTACGGCAGCGAAACATGGCCATTAAGAGTAGAAGATATTCGTAAGCTACTAGTATTTGACCACAGATGCCTTAGAAATATTGCTGACGTCTGCTGGGATCACCGGGTAAGTAATAGTGAGGTTAGACGCAGGGTATTAGGGAATGATGGTAAACCAGTTGATGAGGTTGTTAATCTTCATCGACTGGGATGGTTGGGCCGTGTTACGTATGCCTGAATACTGATTACCACTATGCGAAATGCTAACCGGCGTTGGATATGGTTGGAAGAAAGTTAGGGGTGGTCAAACTAAAACGTGGCATCAGTCTTTGAAGTCACCAACTTCTAGTCTTAGCAATGTTGATAGATGCAGACTACTTGGTTGGGGTCCGTGCGACTATCGTAACCAATGGTTGGAGACTGTTGGTGACATGGCTCAGAATCGATCACAATGGCATCGGTGTATACACTCTCTGTCTTCCCTTAAACTAAGAGATTAAAGTCGCTTTATATCTTTCTTTCTACGAACTAATTCTTTCTTCCTGTACTATATCCTTATATCCAATCTTTCTTTTATATATTACCACCTCTGAATTAACTACTTTTATGAATCAGGTGTTCGTCTTGTTGTGTTAATGAGGTATGGCAACTTGGACCGATGCATATATGTGCCTGGTCGTACGTTGTAGCTGACTGGCTGCTAATATCTTATGATAACTTCGTGGGTCGGTACACGTTTTTCTAGGCTCTACGTTGATCATGTCTGACTAGTCGTGGAACGAATAAAATTCAAAAAGCTTTAAACAGGTATTTGATTATCCTTTTAAAATTAATTAGCAGTCCGTATCCACGAAAATATAAATGATTGAATTTTAAAATATCAAATGTCATATTCTATTGAGTCTCATTCCAATCGTTCACAATTCAACCTAGTTAAGAACGACAAAGTGTTTACCACAGACACTAATATTTTTTAGGTATGTTATATTATGAATTAATTGAATTATTAAAATGTTTTATTGCTGTGCTGAAAGCTAACTTCATCAGATTCAATCAATTAATTTGCATAACTCGTAGTTGAAATATGAAAGTAAATTTCTTATGACAAATTATCAGGTTCGTTAAATACATGTATTTAATCACTGTTTACAAATGTCAATATCTCTAAAGAACTTGTTAACCAAGTACAAGTTTATGTACTTGTCTTTGAGTCTCAGTGTTTTTGTGAGGTGGCAATAATAATAACAGGATACCCAAACTGAAATAATTGTTTAGGTTTTGTAGAACTCACCTACTAATTAAAAACTGAGCGTTTTAACTACTAACAATATGTATTGAACGAATTTCACCTTTCTTCACTAATGTTCAACACAAAATTTTTTAAATAGTGAAAGAGAAACAACATAGAACTTAACCATTAAAATATAAGCATAAATTTTATTACACAAGTATCCAAAGTAATACAGATGAGAAACCAAGTGTCATTGTATTTCCTATTTGTCCAGTTTTTCTCCTAAAGTATTATTTCCTTTCTAGTTATGGACGACTAGCTCAAGAATATATTATGCTTCGGGAACGTGTCGATGCTCGATTACATGCTAAAGATGATTTAATTAAAGAAGTTGAACAAAAAGAATTGGATTACACACGTTCAGAAGGCACCATTGCCCCTACTTTGGACGCTTATAATCGTCTTGTCGGATCACTAAGGGTCTGTACTTACTTATTTATTGTTAAAAAAAAGTATGCATATGTTCTAGAAAAACAGTACCTACCACTCCAACTTATTTCATCTGAGAGCGGTCTGTAAAGATTAAATAGTTATGGCACTTTCATAATGTAGCGAATAGATTGCAGCATAAATCTATCCGATAAATATTCATTCATGTAATTTTTGATATTCAGTTGAGCTATCAGTGTACGTAATCTTTTAGTAGCTTAAATAAATTAACAATGGCATCTCTGACCGTAGAGCTGTATGATTATTATTATTATTCTTTATTGTTTCGTGACTTACTAGTTTCTGTGATGTCCACCAGTTGTATCTTAATTTAATTGTATGATCGTTTTGTATTCGTTCCTGGTACCTATTTTACTGTCAGTTTCTAGATTGATATTTGTATGTGAGGATGAAGATTTTATATTGTATATTTACTTTGGTCTTATACGTTTAGTGATGAATATTTCAGTGTCTAGTAGCCGTTGCTTTTTTTCAACGGGTTCGTTTTTACTTTATGCCTAAGCGATGATTCCACATCTTATTTCTGTACGCACAATCTAATAATAATCTTCTTAGTACGTTGGTTTGTGAAAATTATTGAATTTCACAGTTCATAACACAGTCTGACCTTAGTTATGTAACTTTCAAAACCAGAAGACACTAAACAGCCTTTTCGTCCTACTGTGGATTTAATCACTAGTGGGATCGTAGACCCACATTGCCGAAGAGTCCTTTTTAGTAGGAAGCAGATGTTGCTTTTCTGCATAAATATCCTCGTTTCCCACTAACACTGCTACTATTTATCATAGTAATTTTAACTCGTTCTGAAGTAGTCTGTTAACTTGAACGGATGTACCAGGTTATACTTTACGTATAATTATAACTACAATATCGTTAATTTTTTGTCATTGGACTTTTTCGTTTACAATGCATCTGTCGTAAATTCTACACGCTTATTGATCCTTTACAGAAACCACCGTTTTCACAGATCACCAAAAACTGTAATTTGGAAGTTTGCACATATCGCAAAGGATTTGATATTGCTAAGCAATTACCATTGCTAGTTCAAAATGTGAAGGCTTGTGTTGAACAGTTGACTTTGGCTTTGACTTCTAAAGAACAACGACTAAGTGAATTGGTTGAACGTCTCGAAACTCTTCAATCGTCAATCGATAGTTCAGTAAGTTTTGTAAATTCCCATATATATATATAGTGAGATTTTATGCTTGTGTTGCCCTTCATCACTTCAGTAGGTTCGACTTTTCTCGTCTCCATGATGACTACTCTATCCAACAGATGCGCAAACTAAGGTTATAAAAAATATTTTGCGAATTTTAAACTACCTCAATTATATTCGTTTTCGAGTACTCTTTATCTTTGTTTTCATTGTTCGAAATATTTCTGAAAGTCCCCGGAATCTGGGACCTTCAATAGTCTCGTTTTGTGTACCAGAAAAATCGTATACACCGATTATTTTCCGAAATTTGTTCTATCGACAGTGAGTCAACGAATTTCAGTCATAAAAAACCGCATATGTTCGATATTTTCATCAACGCAAAAGGTTGACGGTCATTTTAGCCTTTCCTTCTTCATTGTCCTCACAGAATTTTTTGATTCACTTGAGAAGAGGTTTTTCTTCAGCACATTAATAATAATAAACATATGTATTAAAATTTATTTACATTAGCAATTCTTAACAGATTTTTGTCTGAATATTATTTTTCACTTATCAGGAATTGCCAGATGTACAAGCTAAACTGGATGAAGTAAAAATAGATTTGGCTAAACTAGATGAACTTTTGGCGGAAGAATACAGTGCGCATACAAAAGCAGAAGAAGAATATGTTAGTTTATGTTCTCACAGAGCCAAAGAATTAGAACAGTTAAAAAAACAGTTAATTGATGAAGAACAACGTCAGACGGATTTAAGCGTATGTTGTGTACTTGTAACTTTACTTGATGACAACTGTGTTAATTTTTATAGCTTGTGTAATAGATTTAACCCTATTTGGATAACCGCTTAAAACTGGAGATCATTGACCAGCTCTTTCGTCTTAGGGACTTCTCAACGGTATGCATTCACAATCTCATGATAGTTTAAACTCAAGCTCGAGGTCTTGTGACTTGGTCTTGACATCTAGACTACGGAGCCGGTATCCAATAGTTTACTTGTCTAACTCCAGTGAATTCACGATATTGTGCAACTACGTCTAATGTTACTGGTGGGTGACTGTTTCACACTTGACATGGTTAAACTCCACTGATCATGGCTTTTCACTAGAACTGTCAGTTCATTTTTATTAAATATGAGTTTACTGTATCTATAAAATACGCTGACTGCAGTGTTTTATTTTTTCCTTGTAACCTTAAAATTCTTATATTTGCATATTTAACTACAATCCTAAAACACGTTATTAATAACACATAAACCAAACGACAGATGGACACTGTCGGTCAAGATTTTACTTTCTAAAGAAAGAGAGAAGAATTATAACTTTTTAAGGGGAAGTGATAAGTATTTATGCGTTGCGCATAAATTCTCGATCAGGTTTTGTCAATAAAAGCTTCTCACTTTTGGTTTTCTCGCTCAGTTAGCTGGTTTCGACTCGTGTGTAGGAAGCTTGTATATCTATATCAGATTCTAGCGACAACACAACATAACAAATTCACTTGTGATACCTCCTAATTTTAATTAACGAATTTTGAATTCTATAGTAGATAAAACATTTTCACTTGTGTTATGTTCCCTGAGGTACCTGAATGATTTAGTCGTGTGAAGCTTTCATTGTCTTTCTAAAAGACATCAGTAGCAGCGCATATTTCACAAAAAGTGCCAACTAATTGGGATTTCCTCCCAACTGACTAATAGCTTGTTCTGTTGACCTGGATGGAATTCGATGGGTCGTTGTTATTGTACGTGATTCTGTGGCTGTTTGTATGTTTGTTTTAATGGTGGGGAACTCTAAAAACATATACTATCCACTTGTCAATTTTTTCTGTTGATTTAATACGTGGTGAGACGTTAGATCACCATTCCATGGTGAAATCTTCTGGGTAGCTACTTTCTACAATAAGTCTATTAGATATGTCTTCCCATTTCTCTGTGTAGTATATGTACTTAAATGGGTCTGAATACAGCTTAATATAGTAGTCGATTGGTTGTTGCTGTTTTAATCAAGGATCGAAAAAACATTCACACAATTATGGACAAAAAACCATTTATGATATATTTCAACAGAACTGGTTGTTAGTGAACTATGGTGAGATCCTAGTAACTCTCTTTCTCTGAAGTATGTGCTGATAATGATGTTCGCTAGAAAAGCACTGAGAGCTTCACGACCCAACCATCCAGCTCAAAGTTCTGAACATACCGTCAATAACCTCATCCTTAGCTATAGATATTCTCCGTCATTTTAGTGAATAACGGTAGATTTCATAATCTTTTAGTTATCACAACTAGTTACATAATAATAAGGATAGAAACTACAGTTAAATCTGAATACAAATTTTTTGTGTTATTAATAATATGCAGTTAATAAAACTGAGGGAATGCAAATTAGATAATCAGATTACTGGAAAAAAGATTAAAGCTAGAAACTAAAGTTAAACAAAATTTCTCAGTAAGTTTAGAAGATGTCCTACTCTACTTGTAATGTAAAATTGCCTTGAACAGCATCGAAGTTCCAAGTCATAACAACTGATTTCAATCTTCAATTTATCCTACAAAATGTACTGAATTCAATGTATTTTAGATTTGAATGATATTTGGTCTACTCTTTTGATCTATCGACAACAATTGTACCAGCTACGCCTGTTAGTTATATTAGGAATGTTTTGTTTAATCCCTCAATGTAGAATATAGCTAGGAAATATGTCTAATTCAAATATTTTCTTTCTAAATATTGAGCTGATAGGGTTTTGAAAATCAACCCATATGAAATCAGCTTGTAATTATCTTCATTACAGGTTTTTATAAGATCTACATATATGACATTGTGAAAGATGGTTTGAATTTTCTTAAGGAGATTCTCATTGAAAGTAAGTATTTTAGTAAACTTCATCTCGAAACTATTAGCTTGAAACCCGGTGAATTTCTTTCACTGTTGACACTTCATGTACTTTGCAGTTCTGAACATATTTATTTACAAAAGTCGACTGCCCTATTTCCGTAGATGGAGTTTTTGCCCAGCTAAGCTCTGAATAATTTATTCACTTTAAGCGTGTAATATACTGTCCTTTTTTATTCATCTACCACTTCACTTACTGTTTTAGGTTATTTACATTTATTTACTTTGCTTAATGTCGACCTATTTTGGTTATTAAAAGGATAGGATAGTTCCGTTGATTAACTTTTACGTGCATTAGCGATATTATTACTGATGATTATTTTGTAAAATGAAGTATTATTTGTTTTTGTAGGGTAAACTTGAAGAAATAATTCAAGAAAGAGTTAAAATCACCTCTTATATTGAAAATATTAGTCAACAATTATCAGTGTTTGTTCCTTACATTGAGGTAATTTTAAAGTATTAACCGTAGAAATCTTTTTATATGCAATGCAACTTTGTAGTTATGGTTCAGATGCTGATGTATCTACTTCGGTTTTACCATCCAAATGATATCTTCAATGTTCTCATACAAAAATGCCGTTTGATACTCAGTACATTTGATTATTAAGTTATGTTTATCAACATTTTAGTCTCATTTCGTGTGTAAACGTTTCTGTCGATATAAATATTATATCCACTTTTTCTAAACCGAAATAAATCGTAAAATTGCACCCTTTAAACTTGTATTACATTGATTTTGAAATTTAGAACGGTGATTTTTAAGATGTGATACATTTCTGAGGCCTTCTTTATTAAGCACTTAGTACACTCAGTCGTAAGCACTATTTCTTATCCTATGACGCGAACCGTAGTATAGTATAAATGTATATGGGGATGTACCACTATTTGCGTAACACTTTTTCCAATTTGGATATAACTTCAAGAGAATTAAGATGGTATTTTATTTGGTTAGGCGAAGTGATCGGTCGGCTAGCGTATATAGTCAGTGTTTACTTGGTTCTTAATTGAGTTATTATATTTCAACAATATGAAACTCAGAGTGTATAATATGATATTGTACAGAAGTAATGTTGACATCTCTTTATTGTTAAGAATTTTAATCATAAAATCTAAGTTCCAATAAAAAATGTAGACTCAGATCTTGCTAATATCTGAAAATTCAAGTGCTCTTCATTACTAAACTGTTGTTCAATGTGGTAGTTACGAGCATTAGCGCTATAACATTCGAGTAACAGCTGGTGATCGCTTGGATTATTGAGTTCATTTTAGAAGGCATTCAGTGACAATTTTCCAAGTATATGTTGGTTTTTCTATCTTATCACATGTAAGTTTTATGTGTTATACTCTTTCTCACAAAGAGAAACGTTTTAAAAATATTTTAGGACAATTTTCTGCTTTGTTTTTTTTTTCAATTTTATTCATCAGCTACTATGCGCATTTCGTTTACTGTATTTTATTGAACTCGGTCAGTATAATCAATACAAGACTTGAAATCATAAAGCTTTTGTTTTGCAACAACTATGGTTTATCTCTGTTTTGACTATTGAAAATATCCCTAAAGTCAGGCCCTTCTGCTTGCTTACTTACGCCTGTTACCTCCAATGGAGTATAGACCGACGACTAGCGCTCTTCAACCCTATCTATCCTGGGCCTTCCTTTCTAGTTCTATCCAGTTGTTCATTCTCATGTTTGTCTCGATTGCTCGACCCTTCTGCGGCCTTATCGATTTCTCATTTTGTCATCGTATAATTTTCTTCATACCTTCTTACATTTTCGGAACTACATCTAGTATATATAAAAAGAATGGTTTAATGTGATAACTGAATTACAAACCAAGGACTTTCGAACATTCACAAGTCAACATTTATTGTCTGCCTCTGGAAAGTATTTATGGCAGATAACACCTTTGACATCGAAAGATGTAGTACCTCAATCCTTTTGGTGTATTGAATATACTGTAAATAAAATACCTATTTATTGATGTACTTAATTTGCATGCGCTCTTAATGTACTTACTACTTGTAAGTTTTAATAATACTTTATTTTCGAATATACTGGGGAGTTGGTCATATATCTTTTTTCTCTTTTAGTCATATTTCAAAACTAAGGAGTCTGCTAGTCGTACCTGGCAGATGCATATAAACATACTGCGCGAAGAAGTTCAAAGTGCAGCTCGTCGTATTGAAAACAAAGTTAGAAAAGCACTTGAAGAAAATTCTTTATCTGAATAGCATTTTCTCCAAGAGATTAACTTTTTCTTGCAACTAACTTCAATTGATTTTTGTTAATATTGCATTTTATTAAAATGTTATTGTCTTGAGAGTTTTCTAATAAACCGTTCAAAATAATCTCTTGTAGCGTATTACAGACAAACCTAAACCTATTAGACACTAGAGCTGAACAGTTTTCGGTTCTCTTTTGTAAGTCTGGTCACTTCTCACAAAGTAGTACTTATGAAACTGTACTTTCTGTTTTTGAGATTTAACTGGTTTTTGCAATTTAACGTTCACTAGTACGAAACTAGCAAATTTGTCACCATAATTAAACCACCGAAGCAACTCCAGCTTGCAAAATGTTTTTTACTCATACTTTTTCCCCGTAATCGGCTACGTGACTACAGCTGATTCATACGTATATCCCATCGTAGGATATTTATTTTGAAAGACCGTCTGAGATATGCTACAGGCATAGTACGGCACGAAGGGACAGAAGATGATCAGTAGTGTTTCGATTTCGTCTGTACACGACGTGTCCTTATAGGATCCGACCTGTTGATCTTGAAGCTAGACGTCTACTGAATCGTTCATCCAGTTCGGTAACACTCAGTTGAAAACGTTTCTTGGTACCGATAGTAGTGTGATGCCTCGGTAGTTCTAATATCTGCTTAGATCTTTTTTTGATGTATTGATGAAGTATCCTTCTTTCCAGTCTGTCGACACTTGTTCTTCCCTCCAAATATTCCTGAGTAGAGCGTGGAACACCTTTACAATAACCTCTATGTCTGACTTCAGTTGGTATATTGTCTGGTCCTTCTGCTTTCCCGTTCTTGATTTGTCTGATAGCCATCCTGATTTATTCCATCGTTGGTGGAGTGACATCTATACGAAGGTCTGTAGAAGCTGCTTCGATGTTCGGTGGATTCATGGAGCTGGTCTATTCAAGAGTTCCTCGACGTGTTCTGCCCATCTGTCTCTCTGTCCATGAATCTCAGTGATTGGCTTGCCTTCTTTTCCTTGACCTGTCTCTCTGGCTTACTATATTTCCCTGCCAGTTCCTTCCTTGTGTCATATAGTTGTTTCATATTTCCTTTTCTTGCAGCTTTTCCCGCTGTTGTTCTAGCCCTTCCACGTATTTATGCTTGTCGACTCTATTACTTCTATTTACTTGCTTGTTGCTTCTGAGTATTCAGCTTGTGCCTTGACTTTCTCTATTCTTGTTCGGCTGTTGTAAATCGCTGTCCTTTTGTTCTTTATTTCTTGAATCTTGTGCAGGGTTTCGATGGAGATCCATTTCTTATGACGATGCTCGTTGCGACCCAAAACCTTTGATCCCTTTCCGGTTGTCCTTCATGGTGGTTTATTCTTCTTCCCGTATATCCTGTAAGGCTTGGAACCTGTGGTTGATAGTTATCATGAATTGGTTGAGTTTGTCAGGATGTCGATAAAAGCCTGTATTGAACCTTTCAAATGCTGTTTGTCCAGTTTTCAAATGCTTCTTTATGTTCAATTTCAACTTGGCAACCACCAGGTTGTGATTGGAAAGTTGTAGTTGCGTTTGTGGATAACCTTGTTCAGCAACAGTAAATTTGCGTGAAACACAGAATACTGGTCTACTTACCTGTTCCAATACTCACTAGATGTATCAGTGTGATTTACAAACTGTAAAGTAGGAGAGTAAGTTCGAATAACAGCATCACTTGGAAGAACCTTTTGTACACATCGAAAGCACGACTCTTGTTCACTCCATTTAAATGTCTTATGTATTGCTCTTCTGGAAGACCATAAGGATTTATTCGCCTCTTGAGGATGACTGAATAACCTTGTACTTGGAGTTTCATAGACGGGATTCTCATCTCGTAGTCAGCGCGCAATCAAGTACGAAGAAATCATGTTAGTGCAATTACCACAGCTACACAACCGAGCAACTCCTACACTTCGCCGACCCTACCTATTGGTGAAAATTTTACAAGCACGCTTTATGCTGCCAGCATTCACTATTTACCAGAAAACACATAGTAAACAAATGCGATTGTTTTAAAATTATATTATAAGACGTCGATTCACATTTGTACAACATCAGAATCACATTGTTGTCCAATGTTCTTTTCTCATATTCTACTTCGTTACCTGCCATCCTACCCCTTTCAAGCGAGAATAAATAGAAAATACAAATAAGTATCATTTTTAAATTGCATCAATACGTCTATTTACATCATACTAATCAGTATCATAAATGTAGTGGACGAGAACACAAGTGGGGACAATCGGATGTATTTGAACACGAAATTACAGAACATTTCACTAAAATATGAAAACCATAGAGTAAATAGTTAATTTGAAAAAAATATCAGTCAATTGTCTCAAACTTGACTGCTACGTTTGAAAATATCAATCCATCGTCTCAGATTTCATTGTTCGTGCATTTTCATACAAACTGTTTTCTGTTTCCGTTCTTTCCTTCTCGATCTTCTACTGGAATACATTTCATTTTTGACCATCGTTATATACTACTTGTGTGGATATAAGTAGCTCACACCACATTAACCGACAAAACAGATAACGTGCATCAGATATTATTGTGATAACTATAGTCCTAATTATTATGACCACCATCATGATAGTTAAAATACTAAGCAGCTAATCGTAGACATGATGATCGTAACAATATATAGTGCAATAGTTATCAGAAAATTTAACACAATATGTGACAAGTTCACGATGACAGTAGTCATCAAAATGCTTAGGGAAATAGGCAACATGATATTCCGCGCAATAGGCGGAATACTTGTTCGCATTACCGAAAGTGGAACGAAAACAGTAGTGGTGAGTAAGATTGGGGCCATAATTGTAATATTTGTACTGATGATAAGGACAGAAAATCTCAGTGGTATGATATACAACCGTTTTCTGAGTGACCGACTTTCAACCGATTTTTCTAACCGTCGCATGCTAATCAATACATGAAACTAACATCTGAGTTAACACGGTCGATACCAGTCAAGTGACTGCCAATCAGTTAGCTGTACATTCAAACTTGTTTTAGTCTGTAAATATGATAAAAGTAATGCGATGAACGATTGTCAGATGCGTAATTATAGTTAATTTTTATGCAACTCCTCTTGGTTTCTGTTGTTCATCGAAAATCTCCACTGTTCATATTGGCAAACAATCTGACTCGTAGCTTGTCTATCTGTGAATGTGTAGGGTATTCAGAACTTTATGACGTTTCCCCAGCTGTTCAGTGTGTTTTGGCTTTCGTTTGATCTGGGCAACCACCAGATGGTGATATGAAGCTATGTCAGCTCTTCTCATTGTCCTCCATCTACTATTGTCCTCCGAAATTTTTCATTGATACAAATATGATCTATCTGGTCCTCTGTGGTGTGGTCCAGTGAGGCTCATGTAACTTTGTGTGTGTTTGTGTGGAAATATTGTGCGACCTATAACTATTTTGTTGAATGCACATAGATTTACAAATCTCTCTCGATTTTCGTTCTTTTCTCCTAGTTCAGGTTTTCCCATGATATCTTCATAACAGTTGTTGTTCATTCCGACTTGAGCGTTTAGGTCTGCCATTAGGATGGTCAGGTCCTTTCCTGAACACTTCGCTGTGATCGATTGCAGCTTCTTATAGAACCGATCTTTATTGTCATCCTTGCTATCATTGGTTGGTGCATAACACTGCATAACATTCATTGTGTATTCCCTCCTTCTTTGTTTTGAAGGATGCTTTGATGATCCTGGGTTCATGAGGTTCCCATCCGATAATTGCATTTCGTGCTTCTTTGGACAGCATCAGAACAACTCCCTGAGTGTATGGAGCATTTTCCTCTTCGTGACCGGAGTACAGCAGCATGTCTTCCGTACCTATCTTTTATTGTCCAGCTTGTATTCAGTGGGTTTCGCTGATTTCAAATATTGCCTAGTTGTATTCTTGTGGTGTTTGAACGAACTAATGATACTTTTGTACTTGTTGATTGCACGATTTCGAATTCCAAATACAATACGTTCGTTTGTGCTTGTGTCTCACTTCTTAATTCAATAGCATTATTTCTGGGACTCTTGGTTCGTGCTATAATTCAAATAATTCAAAACATTATATTGGCGTCGCGATGGAGCCTGCAATGGAAAAGTTGGATATTCATTCAACTTCAGAAGCTTTTGAGGATTATTTGGAAAGGTTCGAAATCTGGAGCATGACCAAGGAAGATGTTAAAGTGATAAATTTGTGGCACATTTCCTGACATTTATTGGGAGAGAAGCGTACAGCTTATTAAAAACTTCGGCATATCCAGAAAAACCTATCTCACTCCCTTATGTAACTCTTAAGGAGCTATTATTAAATCATATAAAGTGCACCAGTTTTGAATGCCATGAAAGGGCGCAATTTCATAAGACAGTTCGTCAAAATGACCAGGGAATTCATCCTTGAATTGCAGAAACAAGCTGCCAAGTGTAATTTCGGTGATCAACTTCATGTGCAACTGAGAGATCGACTAATTGCAGGAATTAACATACCGAGTTTGGAAAGAGAGCTTTTAAAAATGCCAAACTGTTCCTTTCAAGATGCTAGAACTGCGTGTATTAACTACGAAGCAGTCAATGAACTTGATATCCAGTCGATGAAGATTTCTAATACTTTGCTTAGTCGTCGTGATGAACTACAATCTCAGGGTCAATCAAACTTGCGTTCATTTAACAGTGATTCCTATTCCCGTGTAAATATGAAAGGTGTTTCAACGAGGAATTACAAAGCAAATCACAAAGGTGAGATGAAGTTTGGTAAATGTTTATCATGTGGAAAGTTTCATGCTCGCAATTCATGTGTATTTCGTAATGCTAAATGTTTTAAATGTGGTAAGGTAGGACACATTCAGTCAGTATGCAAAGCTACTGTCCATTTTGCTTCAAGCTGTACTAAATCTTGTAATTTAAATTTCAATAATTCGGATGTTTCTAGTGATCATTTATCTTTGTCTACTGTTTCGAAAGGTAATGCTCATATTCAAAAG